ATCGTAAAGCCCTTGCACACGTTGACGGCTAGGAACCAGAGGTTCTACTGAGGAGAATTCTAGCAGCTGCACTCACGTCTGACGGACGCACCACCTATGGCTTTTCCGGATTTCGGCCTCCCCTTTATCCTAGACACGGATGCCAGCGATGTAGGCATGGGCAGCTTTTTGTCACAAATCCAGAATGGTCAGGAGGTGGTTATCACCTATGGCAGTCACGTGTTGTCACCAGTGAAGCAGTGGTACTGCGTCACCCAAAGGGAGCTCTTGGCAGTCGTCCACTTCGCGCAACACTTTCGACCCTACCTGTATGGTTGCAAATTTATGGTCCACACTGACCACGCGGCCTTGCAGTATTTGCTCCGCATTGACCAGCCTTTGGGCCAGCTGGCCAGGTGGATAGTGTGCCTGCAAGAGTACAGGTACCAGGTGGTACATAGCAAGGGGACAAGACACGCCAAAGTGGACGCATTGTTCTGGCTGGTGCCCCATGGCCCTTGCGCATGCGCCACAGACGCGGCATGCTGCATGGAGGCGATGCCGGAAGGAATGGTTATCGCTCCTGTAAACACGGCAGAGGGCGCACAGGCTGAGGTCCAGCTGACTGACCACGACCTGGGGCTAACCTTGGACGTCTGGAGACGTCTACAGCAGGAGATCGCCCTGCGGGTACTACGTGCGTCAACGGAGGAAGGGGGAGGAGTATGTCGTATGGGAGGACCTCCTAATGCAGTTGGACCAGAGGTCGCAATCGGGTACCCGATACCCATACCCTACCCGATATCCAGCTACCCGTACCCGACTGGGTATCGGGTAGGGTACAGGTAGGGTATGGGTACCCGTACCCGGCCGGGTACGGGTACCCGTTTGCGACTCTGGTGCGGCCGGGTATGGGTACGGGTAAGGAATCAAAACCCGTTTGCGACCTCTGGGTTGGACCTACCGGGACGCCGGCGATGCCTGGTGGTTCCAGAGTCGCTGTGTCAACAATTGGTCATGGACATGCACTGCTGCCAGTTGCTACACCTGGCCGGGCGGAAGACACTGTCCACATTACAGGGTCAGTACTTCTGGCCAGGCATGACTGCTGACGTGCACCGATAAGGTCGCAACCTGTGTCGAATGCGCGCGGCGGAAGCCACTAACCTGGGTGACGACGAGGTTTGCCGCCTGGCAACTCGAGGGCTGGGCAGTAAGGCAGGGAGCGCTGGTCAAGGGTGACCAACACCGTGAGAAGGGCTAGCGTGGTGTCGTTCCCTTGGTGACTTGTGGGCGTCCTAGACAGAAGTTAGAGAGCACTGTAAAGATCTGCAAGTGGCATAAGCTGCTACTCCCTTGCACCTACATCAACACTATTTCTTCTTCACCCGAACACTTTCTCACTCCCATACACAAGACTATTGAGCGACGCACCCACTTCAAGACATTCTCTCGGCAATAAGATCTTTATTTTCTGACTGAGAACTAGCAAGAATATTTATCAAGGGACTTTGTTCTGTTATATGCACGCGGTCTCGTCCAATTCTGTGATTTCAAGGTTAATGAAGTTTAAGTGCGTCGGATATGTGCTTTGTGGTTGCTGTTGTGAAATTGAGTTACGCTTGAGGCATTTAGTGTTCACCTGGTCGGGTGAAGTTTTGTTGTTGGAAACTGTTGAACCTGGGGATGTTTCCCTGGTTTTTCCACAGGTGCATGTTAAGGGGCCGTCCATAAATGACGTCACGTGATTTTGGACGAAGTTTGACCCCCCCCCCTTCTTCACACGGCGTCACAAAAAATCAGACCCCCCCTCAAATATGACGTCACAAAGCTCTGCCCCCCCCCCCAAATAAAAATAGAAAACATGCTTCAAATCGCTTTAAACTAGTCATTGTAGCGCGTATTTAATGTAGCGCTGCACTCTGATGTTGTAGCAGAAAACATTTATTTAAGAGTCTATTTAATTAAGCGGAACGTCAGTTTAACACGTAGGCTTTCGCGACCAATATTATTCATAATCAACGTTTTTGGGTTTAGATCGCGTTATTTATAAATGTGTCGTAACCCTCCACCACCCGACACAGCCAATCAGTAAAAACGTGTCACGTTGACAAAAGACAAATAGTTCACTGCTTTAGCCCACCGGTGTGTTGAAGCGTGAAACCACAACATTTACAATTTGAGTACGACGTTTCGCTGGTAATTGCATCCAGCATCATCGGGCAATTCGCCAGAATGGTGAGGCTCTGCTGTGTCTCCCGTTCTTATATAGAGCAGCAGCAGGGTGACGTCATCATTAACTCATTAACTCATCAGGTGCAAAGATTTGAGGGGGGGTTATTGTAATTATATACTAGATTGGTAATCAGGCTATTGTTACGATGCGAGTTGTAGATTAGTAATCATTTGGAATATGTTTTATTGTGATTATGCTACATTAGTAATCAGTTAGTGTTTGTTTCCCTTATAAGGAATTGTAATGTATCTTATTTAATAATACGCTTCCAGGCCGCACTAAGCATGTAGCTGTCTGAGAGATTAAAGTTATTTCTGTTTCTCTCAATTTCAATGGATTCTCTAATTAGTCTTTGCCAGTAGTAACTAGTTTTACACAACACTTCAACGTTGTCAAAATCAATTGAGTGTCCCTGTTGGCATGCATGTTCTGCCACTGCCGACAGTTGTGTTTGTGATAGTTTAATATTTCTCTGGTGTTCTTTTAGTCTTACACTAACGTTACGCCCTGTCTGTCCAATAAAGCATCTGCCACATACACACTTAATCCGATATACACCCTCTGTTGATAATTTAGGTAATTCGTCTTTAGTGCACGTTACTAGTTGTTGAATTTTGTGTACTGTACCAAATCTTACTGTAATGTTTTGCCTTTGCAAAACACGGGCTAATTTGTCAGTTACTCCTGAGATAAATGGTATTTTTATTGTTTTAATAATCTGATCGCTTTCAACAGTGTTGCTTTGCGATCGTGATTTGGCATTTAGTGCTCCGTTAATTTGAGCATTATTGTAGCCATTCTGTCTTAGTGCTTCTTTAACATGTTTAATCTCTCACTAGACTTTCACCATCTGACACTGTTTTAGCCCGATGTATGAGCGTCTTGATAAGAGAGGATTTCTGAGCTGGGTGATGATGCGAATCTGCATTTAGATAGGCATCAGTGTGTGTTTGCTTTCTGTAAACGCTGTGTTATTTTACCATTTAGGCCATGCCCAAGTAAAATATCCAGGAACGGGAGTGTGTTATTCACCTCCATTTCCATGGTGAACTGAATGGCCGGGTTTTGTGCACTGAGATTATTTAGAAAATCGTTAAGTGTATCTTTACCATGTGGCCAGACAACCAAAGTGTCATCCACATATCTAAACCAAACGGATGGTTTTAATGTGCTCGAGGCAAGTGCTCTGGTTTCAAAGTTTTCCATGTACAAATTTGCTATAGCAGGAGATAAAGGAGAGCCCATTGCTGCTCCCTCCCTTTGATTAAAGAATTCGCCTCTCCATAAGAAGTGTTATTTAAACAATGGTCAGCGAGTTTCGGAATATCTTTTGGTAAACCTGTATTCTTTACCAGTGTATCAAGTAATTTAAGCGACTCGCTCACTGGAACCTTAGTGAATAGCGAAAGCACATCAAAACTCACCAAAATATCATTAGGGTTAAGTTTAATATCTTTGATCATAAACACATTCCAAATGATTACTAATCTACAACTCGCATCGTAACAATAGCCTGATTACCAATCTAGTATATAATTACAATAACCCCCCTCAAATCTTTGCACCTGATGAGTTAATGATGACGTCACCCTGCTGCTGCTCTATATAAGAACGGGAGACACAGCAGAGCCTCACCATTCTGGCGAATTGCCCGATGATGCTGGATGCAATAACCAGCGAAACGTCGTACTCAAATTGTAAATGTTGTGGTTTCACGCTTCAACACATCGGTGGGCTAAAGCAGTGAACTATTTGTCTTTTGTCAACGTGACACTTTTTTACTGATTGGCCGTGTCGGGTGGTGGAGGGTTACGACACATTTATAAATAACGCGATCTAAACCCAAAAACGTTGATTATGAATAAGCGGAACGTGTTGTCTATATTTATTTAAAGTTGCGCATTTTGATGTGACGTCACGTTTCTCACCCCCCCCCCCCCCTCGTCACACATCGTCACAAATGTCTGACACCCCCCCTAGGTGCGTGACGTCATTTATGGACGCCACCTTAGTGTATATTTCTATGGTAATACGCCTCACTCTTACCTAAAGGCTTAAACCCGTAACCGTTATAAATCAGTTGTGGTCATCCCTTATTGCCTGGCGCATTTGGTCTTCTACTCCAACCCAGATTCCGCAGACCTTAAACAACCATCCGGGACCTGGGTCAAATAATATCGCACGGCCCATCGTCCACCTACCTGTGGCGACATTCGGGGTCTTTCCTCCTACACGGACTGCGGTTGCCTTTCATCTCCCCCAACCCATTGTCTGTAGGTCAACATTGCTATGTACTGCGTTGATGTTGAACTTAACGTGCACCGTACGGAGCCAACCGTGCCAATCGGAGAACATTCGATGTAAAGTGTCGCCGTCACGAGTTTCCACTCGTGTTCTCAATCCGTGAAGTTGTTGGGTCATCTCAACCAGCCTGTGTGATGCAGGTTGGGACAAGAACACAACTTGACGTCAATCGTCCCCGAATGTGTTTTTTAGCGGGTCTCTCCTCTCGTTATGCTCATGGCAGGATAGGGACGGGTCGGCGATGCCCGTCTTGACGCGAGTGTTATCTCCGTGCCACAAAAATCAACGCATATTGTTGAGTGCGTAGCGTGGTTAGGGGGTAATGCCTGTGGGAATTGGTGATGGTATTTGTACGTGAGGGGAGTATGGCCCAGGGCGGTGACCGGCCCAGGGCGGTGGGCGGCCCAGGGCGGTGGGCGGCCCAGGGCGGTGGCCGCCAGCTCGGGGCGGGTGCAACACAAGGCAAAAACGACTCGGCGTCTCGGCAGTTCCACATCGTTTATGAGCGTTCACGGGGGGTGTTAAAAGTTTACATGATGCGCCCGTCCACAGAACCGGCCCCACAAGTCGCGACATTACACACACACACGTACCCCAGTGCCTAAAAGTAAATGCGATAACACAGCCCAGAAGAACCGACCGCCTGATAGGAAAAATAACCACGATATGTTTGCCTTTACAAGAGCGGGTTTTTGTTCCTGCCCAACCCCACAAACGTGTCATCTCCACTACCTAGTCATCAGCAAGTTACTTACTGAGGTAAAAACCTTAACAGTTGATAAAATACATACATAATACTAACACAAATCCTTTTTTTTCTCTTTATCTTTTGCCAAAGACATACAACAGTTTACGAATGAATACAGATACAGTACAATTGTTTTACTGACAATACCACCAAGTGTTAACTAAACCTAATTGTCTCTAGACCACGACAGCATATACATCTCTGGATCATCACGTGTTACAACAGCATTCAGGCTAGAGCTAGCAAAATATATACATCTATCTATACGCTTTGGATCAGTGAGGTTAGACTGGCGCTCAGCTGGGGACTTGGATGGGCGCCACACACACACGGTGAGGGTCACCACAACTTGTTAGCGTCTTTGGTATCACAGAAGGCAGAGATTTTGGTTCCTCTTGCGCTTTGGGATGATGAGGCGGCGCCTGGCGCTGCCTCCTACACGACACGGCGGGGGTGGGGGGTGTGAGCGGAGATGGAGGCGGCGGCCAACAGACAGAGCCCCCAAATCCAAACCCAACCTCAAGCCCCCCACCACGCGGAGCTCAGTGCGGATGGGGGACCCCCCCCTCCCCGTGTGCCGGCATACTCACTCGCTGACTCGCAGACGTGCACATGTACACATTCGCTCACTCGCAGACGTGCACATGTGCACATGTACACGCTCGCTCGCACCAAGCGCGAGTGTGCACTCACGCACAGGCATGCATGCACACCTACGGACTCGCTCGTACACGAGTGTGCACGCTCACGAATCGGCGCAGGCATACACACTGACACGCACAGGCGTACACACACTCAACGCGTGCACTTACACTCAAGCACAGGCATACGCACTGACACGCACAGTCATGCACACAGGCATACGCACTCACGCACAGGTGTGCACACCTGCACACTCACGCACATGTGTGCACACCTACGCACTCACGCAAGCATTTACACACGTGGATGTACATGAGCAGGGGTCGGAAACCAAACTAGCAATAAGAGCCATTTTTTGCGAATTCGTCAAACAACTCACTATTTCAAGAGCCACAAATCAACGTGTATATGAGACGGTGGGTCCTTAATAAATAACGCCACGAAGCAGTCCTCAAAGAGCCACATTCGGCTCCGGAGCCGCAGGTTGCCGACCCCTGTACATGGGCATTCGCGCACACAAACACAGTAACTCGCACATTACACAAACACACACAGTAACTCGCACATGACACACACACAGTAACTTGCACATGACACACGGGCACGACACTCGCACACAACGCAGTCGCTCACGCACGTGCGCACTCACAGGTGGAGCAATCCACAGTACCATGGACGCGTTGTTTGGGACAGTGCCATCCCAACTCATAAATAGTTTGCCGGCTTGCTGAACGTTTGCCAGGCAATCTTGAACCACGTTTCTCTTGTTTCCTCCAAACCAGTAGAAAATAGGCGGTTTCAAAGAAATTGTTTCGTTTTTTGTCTACAATTCATACATTCACGCCAGACGTTATTGCGGAGCCGGTGAATAATGCAAACCACATAAATTAAAGCGGGAGACTTCATCATCTGGGAAAGGGGGGCACAGCGTTGGTTACATGGCCTCTCAGCAAGAACGGCCCTGGATTCGATTCCCTGTTCTGCAGAGTATGCGAGTGTGTGGAGTCTGTATGTTTCACCCTGTTCTGCAGAGTATGCGAGTGTGTGGAGTTTGTATGTTTCACCCTGTTCTGCAGAGTATGCGAGTGTGTGGAGTTTGTATGATCTCCCCCCCGTTCTGCAGAGTATGCGAGTGTGTGGAGTTTGGATGATCTCCCCCCTGTTCTGCAGACTACGTACGAGTGTGTGGAGTTTGTATGATCTCCCCCCCGTTCTGCAGAGTATGCGAGTGTGTGGAGTTTGTATGTTTCACCCTGTTCTGCAGAGTATGCGAGTGTGTGGAGTTTGTATGATCTCCCCCCGTTCTGCAGACTACGTACGAGTGTGTGGAGTTTGTATGATCTCCCCCCGTTCTGCAGAGTATGCGAGTGTGTGGAGTTTGTATGATCTCCCCCCGTTCTGCAGAGTATGCGAGTGTGTGGAGTTTGTATGATCTCCCCCCGTTCTGCAGAGTATGCGAGTGTGTGGAGTTTGTATGATCTCCCCCCGTTCTGCAGAGTATGCGAGTGTGTGGAGTTTGTATGATCTCCCCCCGTTCTGCAGACTACATACGAGTGTGTGGAGTTTGTATGATCTCCCCCCTGTTCTACAGACTACGTACGAGTGTGTGGAGTTTGTATGATCTCCCCCGTTCTGCAGAGTATGCGAGTGTGTGGAGTTTGTATGATCCCCCCCCTGTTCTACAGACTACATACGAGTGTGTGGAGTTTGTATGATCTCCCCCCCCCCTGTTCTGTGTGAGGTTTCCTCCCTGAGCTAAACCCACACATACACAATGTAATTGGTTTGAGCTAAAACATCTCAATACCGAAATATTACCTTGCAAATTACTCAACTGGGATCACACAGCAACAGCAACATCGCCCCTTACTGTGACAACTTTGCACTGACCCTCCTGAACAAAACGAGTCTTAAAAAGACTCGGTGAGGTAAAAATCGGAATCATAATCATAATAAATAACCTGGTTTTGACTGCCACTTCTGTGACAATTGCGATACTGTGCATTGCTCCGGGTCCACCAGCACACACAAAAACTCGCGCTACACACACACACACACAATTACATTCACAGGCGAAGCTCTCACACTTTTGCCTTGACACACGCACACGTCACACGACGCAGTGACAGCCTCCCGCTAGAGCTAAGCTGCATAGTCTACCAACAATGCATGGCACAGCAGATGAGGAGGGATGCACACACCACGCGCACACCCCACGCGCCGCACACACCACGCGCACACACCACGCGCCGCACACACCACGCGCACACACCACGCGCACACACCACACGCACACACCACACGCAACGCTGTATGTAGAGGCGGCAGAGGCCTTTTCGGCAGCCGTAGATTTATGAGGTGTGGGGGGGTACCCCTGCCCCGGGGGCTGTGCCGAGCCCGCTCGGGGGAGGGGGGCACGCCCCCCCCACTCGCGGGGTGGTCTGTGGTCCCAGCGCCGCGGGAGTGTGTGTGTGTGTTAATCCAAATCGCCAGCTTAGCCCCCGTCCCTCGTGGCAGCCACCGGCGAACCCCCCCCCCCCCCCCCCCAGCTCTCTCTCGAGTCAATCGACCCCGGGGCAGCGGGCCAGGCTCAAACCTCGCGCCACAACGGTTGTTGCCGAGTTGGACGTCGGCGAGGAGAGACGGGGCCGCTTCCCCCCCCCCTCCACCAACGCCAAAAACACAAAAACCCCGCAGGCAACGGGAGGGGACAATCGCTGCCAAGGGCCCAGCAGCGTTTGGCTGCCGCCCCGACCCGACCCGACCCGCCCCCCATGCCCTCTTGGAAGCTGCCGGCTCTGGCGGCAGGGCGGGGGGTCGCCACGGGAGGTCGCAAATTGCCAAGTGAACGCGTGGCCCTGGAGGGCCCCCCACCCCCAGCTCTCTCTCTCGCGCGCGCGCCCCGCGGGACCCCCCCCCCCCCGGCAGGACCAAGGGGGGCGAGGAGCGAGGAGGATGGGGCGCCCCAGCACCAGACCGCGAGGGGCCCGCGCGGCCGATGATCGTCTCACATTCACTCGCTTCGTTTGTATTTTTTAGTTTTTGATTTGAGATCTTTGGTTTTTCTCTTCACGTCTTTGCTCCCTCCCCCCTCCAGCACCGTGGCAGCTCCGAGGAGCCCGCGCCGATCTGCCACAAGGGACCTCCCCTTTTCGCTTACTCGTTTTTTTTTCCACTTATTTTCAATTTTTTTTAAAGCTATTTATTTGGTTAGCTGTTTTAAATAAATGAGGTATTTGACAAGTCGGGACTGACGCCAGTTCAGCTACACGAAGGATAAACCCAAGTCACAGTTTCTGACAGAAGAACCCACGAGGAATATTACAGAGCAACGGCTTTGGTACGGAACGAGGCCGGGCGGCAGAGCCCAGCCCAGGTTCATTCTGCAGTTCAGTTCACTCCTTTAAAGCTAATCTTATCCCATATTGGCAATATTATTACTACTACACAAAAAACCATTACTGAAATGTTGTGCTGTACTGTACAAAGGAAAATAAAAACACAAAAGAAAATCATTTAAAAACAGCCTACTCGGTTTCATGTCTTGCAACAAATACTGAAAGATCAAATCCACCCACCCAAGATGGGACCTTTCAAACAACATCGGGATCGGGGTCAGGGTTCAGGGCCCACACCGGCGGGGGCACGGCGAGCAGCGGGGGACGAGGCCGTCCCCTCGTCTGGGAGCCATGCGCCCCCCTCGCTCCCCCCCTCGCCCGGTCTCTCCGCCTCCCGCTCAATCGCTCGCGTCCCGCACGGCCCACAGAGTCCCCGGGGCCCTGCCTCGCGCGGCCTCTTACAGCCCAATCGTGGTCCACCAACGTGACATCAGGTGGCCTAAAGTGGCCTCTTTAAGTGACTCCACGTTGTCCCACCCCACCAGTGGCTTGGGAGTGACCCCCCCCCTCCCCCGTTGGTTTCCCAGTGGCCCTATGGTGGCCCCAGGATGGCCCCAGGGCGACACCGCCCCGACGAGGAACGGGGTGGGGGAGGGGGGGGAGCGTGGGTTGGTGCCAGGCCCGGCTGCGCGAGTCGAGCCAGTCTTTGGTTGTGCGGGGATCTCCCCCCCCCGCCCCCCCCCCCCGTGATGTGGCCGGGCCATGAGGGGGGGGACCCCTCTCACCCCCCCCACCCACCACGTGGCAACGGTGGCGCCCCGGGGGTTCAGGGTACAGGGGGGATCCACTGCGGGATCGGTTTTTTTTTTGGTCTCAAGTTAAGGACGACGACAGTAAGAATAATAATGCGGGTTCGTGTGCTGTCTTACGTATTCAGCAGTAGAAATAATCAATCACCGTACAAATCCTAAGAATACAAACTCCGTTACAGTCAGATGCACGAGTGAGAGGGCTCGGGCGACAGCCGATCCCCGTGCCCGTGAAGGGCGGGTGGGGGGGGGCCGGGGGGGGCCTCACTCGAGCCCCCTCCTACATTCCCTCTCGCTCTCTCCGCAGCGCAGCAAAAACCTCTGCATCGCCCCCCCACTCCCTCCCCACCGGGCGGACGCAGGGGGGGAGGGGAAGGGGGGTGTCCCCCCCCCTCGCCGGCTGTCAAAGTTCAATCATCATCCCTCTCCCCGACATTGCACTCTAACACCCAAAAAAACATACACAGGTCACGTGACGAGGTCATGGAGGTCACGCGATGGGAAGAACACGGCAGGTCAACGAGGGGTCGCAGCACGACCCCCTCACCCCCTCCATTCGGCCGACCCACTGCACTGAATTCCTTTGGTGATCATAAAAGCTCGTAGAAAAAAGTTTTGGCCCGTTCATTTTTTTGTCTTTTAATTTAATTTAAAGCTTTTTTTTTAATTAGTGACTTTTTTTAAGCCTCGTTATCTTTTTTCTCTCTCTCACCTTTGTTACGTTTAAACCTCCCCAACCCTCCCCCCCAACCCACCCACCCCCCCTTGTCTACTCGACTAGGAGCTAGAATAATAATCTAGGAGCTGGTTCGAGTTCTCAGTTAAAGCTCGGCGACACGCAATCACGTTGTGTGCAGCAATGAGGTATTTCTCGCAATGTACATCGCGACTTTTGGTTGACAGCTGTGTTCAGTTAAAGCAGTGGTTTACTGATTAATTAACTCTCCACATTGACCAGGAACGACTTCGTTTCCTACTCGTAGTCATCGTCCGCCGTCACGTAGTCGCCGACGTCTTTTCGTTCCTCTCATTCTTTTCCCCGAGGTTTCCCACTTTTATCTTAAGCCCACCCCAAACCCTGCCCCACCGCACCCCGTCGTCAAGATTTGGCATTATCGACGTACAACCAGGGTACTCAGTCTTCCAAAACACAGCGATGGAAATTAAAACGACAGACAGAACAAAACACAATCACCGGATTCTCTCTCTCTAAAAAAACGAAACAGCGTTACAAAAAAACGTGGAATGATATGAAGGTAGTCCGCGGAGGTAACCCGCGGTTTTTCGCCCGACGTCCCAAATTAAAACGCGCGTGGAGGCGGCGGCGGCGGTGGCAGAGGCAGCAACGGCGGGCCGAGCGTCGGAAACGAACGCGAGCGTAGTCGCAGTTTTTCGCCGACTTTGTGTTCTGCGAGGTCGAGACCGCCGAGCGACGCAACAACAAAAAAAACACCGCGCGACGCACGACAAAAAACTCGTACGCTCGATAGCACGCTCACCCGGCCCCAGCGAACTGCTGCGGGCCCCCCCCCACCGCACCCCCCACCATCACCCCCTCACTTGTCTGCCTTTGGTTTTGCAGGGGGCGAGGGGGAAAGACCCCCACGAGGTACCGGGGGCGGACGGGGCCGCTGTGGTGAGGGTGCCGGGGAGGTTGGGTGGAACGGGGGATAGGGGGGGGCGGCAGCGCCGAGTCCGCACGTCCGGCCTTGACAGTGCCACATGAAGTCTCGCGCCGGCCTGTGCAGTTACAGTCACACACTCATCGTCATCATCATCACTATCATTATTATTATTAGCAGTAGTAGTAGTTATTTATTAGCCTTTGGTGTAAGATCCTTTTTGGAATTTCTTTGTTTCTCAGTCTTTAGGAGTTGGAGATGAGGCCTGTAGAGATGCAGTCACTGTAGCCTTTGGTTAGGTGGGAGGGGGGGGCCCGCTCTAGGCCTTCGTCTGCCCGTGGCTCCCCTGCGGTGCATTCTGGGAGGCGGGCAGCGATGCACTCTGGGAGTTGGGGTGCGGTGCGCTGTGGGAGGCCATGAGGGCGGCGCTGGGCGAGCTGGCGAGCGCCAGCACGGCGCCGTGGGATGAGCCGAGCGGGGACGGGGCGGACATGGAGAGCAGCGGGATCCCCGACGAGTTGAGGAAGAGGGGGGCCGACACCAGGCCGCCCCCCCCTGTGGGGCCCCCCGCCCGCCCGCCCCCCGCCCCCGTGATCACCAGCCCGCCCCCCTGCTCCAGCGACGGCATGGAGAGCGCCCCGCTGCCGGCCAGCGCTGGGGGTGGCACGGAGGCAGCGATGTCAGCACGGCCGCGGCACACCCACCACCCCACCTCACTCTCCTTACCTCCATGCCACTCTCTTACCTCTCCCCTCTCATCTCAGTACAGTTGGACTTATGAACAAATCGACTTACGAACAGACCTCTGGAACATAACTCGTTCGCAAGTAGACGAGTCCCTTTATGCATTGTTTGGCACACTCACGTCGCTGGCTTTTTGAGCGACCCAATGGTTTTCGACTCCGTTCAGCCGAGTAATTTTCATCCACTCCTCAAGGCGAGATCATAGAAAAATTATAGGTTCAGGTAAAAGCCTTTTAAAAATGCTGTTTAAGATCGTTTTTTTTATTATACACTTAAAAACTGCCTTAAAATGTCACCAAAACGTTTTCTGTTAAAAAAAAGGAAAACTTTTCAAGTGTACAGGGAAAACGAAACGACATGTCTCGGACCGTGTTCGCGAACACAAGGCAGATTTGAAACACGGCAGAACCAATACTTCTGCCGTGGGTGATCACTGCTTTAACGCGGTGGGTTCACACGATATTGTTTTTTTCCGAGACCAAGGTACTCTGCAAACCTTCGGGCTACCATCAAAGATTTGTCCATGAAGCCATCCAGATATATAAACAGAGACACAATTTCAACCGAGAAGATGAGAACAAACTGAGCAATCATTGGAAGGATGTTATTAAATGTTATTATTTGTAAAGTCATAACTTGCTGTGATGTTTCCATCCTTCCTGCTGTTGTTTAGCAGTTATTTCCGACTCTCTGAATTACATCACCTTGTTAAATGTCTTTACATTAACAGACTAAGGTCTCACTAACATAGCCACCGTTGCTCCCTTTTGCCTCGATGTAACGGTAGCTCTCGCTGTTTAATAGGCTGGATGTTTCACTGGCACGGCCACCGTTACGGTGGTTCTCTTGCGATGATACGCTGGCCTCTCTGTGCAGCAGCCAACGACGCAGCTTGTGTTGCCCACGAGGTGGCGCTATGCCCGGTCCTCTGACACAGACATGCCATCTTCCCATTATACTCGCTCACATTGACACGCCAATCTCTCACTTTAACGCAGCTGCTGTGCATGCGGCGACAGGACTCCTTTCCATCTCTGACCCCGCCTACTTGCCCTTGAGTGACACCCACCTCAAACCTAGACATAACCTCTTGTTGCAGCAGCCCTTTCTTGTTCAGCAGTTCTACTGCTGTATCTTTCTACCTGATGACGATTGCTTGTGTTGCGATCGAAACGTCGTGATTTATTATTTAGTTTTTGGCCTACGTGACTTTACCGAAAGAACCAAAGAGTATGGATTCCTGCAGTCACGAAAGCTTCAAGTCAAGATTGTACAGGGCTGCTGCGAAAATGCTCACAAGTGTTTGGTAAGTATAAATGCTGTTTAAAGTACCTTTAACTCAAAATTGGCAATAAATGTGTACATTGTGTTGTACAGTATAGGTCAGGTACTGTACATGTACAGTACGTATTTTGGTTGCTAGGTATGAAACAACGTTCCCTCAGTTACGCTCCCTATTCCCAAATTATTCCATTGTTTCTTATGGGAGAAATCGCCCCGCTTTGCGTCGCATATGCAACGTTTACGGCCTTATGGTCCCTATCCCCCCCTACCATTTCCCATTATTTTATGGGTGACAATGTCTCCGTTATACATCGTTTAGTTACAAGTATAAACTTTCAGGTCCCTAACCCTGACTTATAACGGGGATTTCCCCGTATGTGCTGGTGAGTGTGTGGGTGTCTGTGTGTTCGTACCTTGTATGGTAGCCAGCGTGTTGTTAGTGAGCAGAGCTGGGTTGAGCGCTCCCCCGAGCCCAGAGCTCATGCTCAAAAGAGTGCCACTGCACACGCATAGGCACACACAGACAAACATCCACCCATGTAGCCTTAACAGACTGTTGGACAAGTGCTGTTAGCGAATAACAGCACCTATGAAGCCTGACACAGTACACAGTGAGGGAGAGGGTGGTCAGCATTACGCCCCGTCACCTCCGTCTCACCAGTGCTGATGTTTACATGCGCTAGGTACTATTTTTTTAAGGTTGAGTCAACCTAGGGGAGACCCAGGACCGATTCAGATAATTATCGCCGATGTTGGTCACTGTGATTCGGAGTCGAACTCTGGTTGCCGGATTTCGTAGGGCAGTATGCTAATCGCTAAATGGCATGACCACAGACAAAGACCACCCAGTATAGCCTTAACACACTGTTGGGGCAAGTAGTTAGTGAGCACCTATGAAGGTCGGCACGTTACACGAGGGAGTGGGTGGCCAGCACCACGCCCGGCCGCCTTTGTCTCCCCAGTGGTCGTTGTTTACACACTGTACTAGGTACTCATTTGAGGCTGAGTCGACCTCGGGGAGGCCCAGGACTGGCTCTGATAATCGTCACTGGTGTTGGCAGTGAGCGGGAATCGAACTCAGGTGACCAGGTTCGTAGCACAGCGCGCTTACCGCGACACTACCCCCCACAGTAACACAATCACACGTGTACACAGACACGGCATCGTAACACCCGGCTTGCGTAGATGCTTGCACCTCTACAGATGACGGACTTTCAATCGACACCAACATTTTAAATGTAGCGCCGTGGTGGTGAGATATTAATTACCTCGCCTGGTATGCAGGAGGTCGTGTTTTCAATTCCGACCCTGACGCCTGCTGTATATTTGTTTGCATGCTCTCCCTGCAGTCGCGTGGAATTTTATTCGGGTTCTCAGAGTTTTCCCCTCAACATTTTAGAATCAACATCACGCGTTTAGAGCATTTGGCTACTGCTATGAATTTCCACACGATGATAAATAATAAGCCACTTCTTTGAGCTTATCATTGGTGATAGCCTGGTTACTTCTGAAAAAGGGCTACACAGATCAGTGAGCCTTACCTTGTAATATAGAAATAGTAGTGAATGTGGATTGTATAAGGTTTGTTCAAAGTGGCAACAACAACAACCGCCATTCGCCACTAAGTGGCGGTGAGGTCACCACGACGCTTGTGCCAGGCCATGTGCACCTTGAGGCCACGTGAAGTCTCGAACGCCCGCTGGCAGGAGGTCACGGGGCAGACCCAGGTGCCACAGGTCGACTGACTGAAATGACTGAGATGACTGGCTGATGCACCACCTGTGCCCCCTACTGTGCCAACTTGCTGTGCACACACGAGCATACAACCGGCGAGTGCTATGGACTCGCAGGTTAAACCGCGTTGGCCCTCACGCCGCGTGACCGTAACTTCCACCCGACACATCCCAGCCGCTCCTTACCCCGCGAGCTGCGACGGGCTCACCAACCCCGCGTTTCCGGCTCCCGCCAGCATCTGCCCACCGGAGATGAGCCCCCCACCGCCACCCCCCAGCGAGCCCAGCAGTCCCCCTCCTCCGCCACCACCGCCACAGACGCCACCACCACCACCGGGCCCCCCGTTGGTGCTGCTCGAGCCGCCGAGCGATGAGAGCAGTCCCGAGCCAGAGAGCAGGCTGGCGGCCGATGTGGTGAGGTTGCAGCTGGTCGGGGCGATGACGAACGAGCAGCCAGTGCTGATCGGCACACCGCCGCCGCCGTGCGTGCCACTGCTGCTGAGCGCCGTGGACAGGAGGCTGTTGGCGAAGGTGGCCGGGGTGATGGTCTGAGCGCCTCCTCCGCCGCCGCCGGGGCCCAGCGAGCCGTGGGTGCAGGCGTGCGCCGCCCCGCCGTGCATTGCGGGCGACGCGGAGGACGAGAACATGGCACTGGCGGGCACCGGCGAGGAAAAGACGGTATGGGTGGAGGGCAGGAAGGACGGGGAGGGCGTGGACGCCGGCAGGATGGCGGCGCCGGAGGAGGAGGAAGAGGGGGTGGAAGGAGCCAGCGAGAGAGCCAGCGAGTCGCTGGAAGTGGCGGCGGCGCCCGCCAGTGGAGGGGAGCCCACGGAGGAGGGGGATGAGATGGCCGGGTCGGAGACGCCGCTGAGCACCGAGGCCATGTCGCTCGCTACGCACGTGCACGCACAGACACGCACAGATACAGAGATACATAAAGACATGCACGCAGAGACACGCACAGATATGGATACACACGCAGATACATGAACAGAGATTTCCGTAGAGATACATAGACATACGCACGCAAAGACACACATAGAGATATACAGAGAGATGCTACTGTGCAGTTGGAGGTAGTCGCCCTTCAACAACAGCGGAGGGCAGAGGAGCAAGGCTCACAAGAACAAGTGGAGCACTGGGTGGCTAAAACGCAGTGAGTTGGCACAGTGGGGAGTATAGGTGGTGCAACCTGCCAGTCATCTCAGTCAGCCAACCCATGGCACCTCAGTCTGCTGTGGTGACGTCACCGCCACTTCGTGGCAAATGGTTGTTGTGAGTGTGTGTAGTATGGGGGAGCAGTAGTGGAGCTGCACTACAAACCTGGCGATCCGAGTTCAATTCCCACTCATGGCCAACACCAGTTGGAAAATATTTGAACGAGTCCTGGGCCTCCCCTAGGTCGACTCAGCCTCAAATGAGGATCTGGTCCGGTGTGTAAACATTATCACTAGGAAGACAAAAGCTGGGCGTGGTGTTGGCCACCCACCCCTTTGTGTGCCGTGCCACCCTTCATAGGTGCTCGCTAACAGCACTTGCCCCAACAGTCTGTTAAAGCTATACAGGGGATCTTTGTCTTTGTTGTGTGTGTGGAGTTTGTATGTTCTCACTCTTGTTATAGATGTGTTTCCACTGGCTTCTCCAATTTCCTCTCATAGCTAAACACATACACACATTGGAACTGATATTGGTTAAATATCCCCAATGCTGAAAAAAATTACCTGCAAATTACTAAGTTTGGATCACACACAGCAACATTGACCCTCCTACTGTGGTGGTGAGATGTTAACCGCCTCGCTTGGTATACAGGAGGTCGTGGGTTCGAACCAGAACCTGACGCCTGCTGTATATTTGCAGTTTGCGTGTCTCTCTCCTCGTGGTCACGTATAATTTTCTCTGGGTTCTTCGGTTTTTGCCTCTACATTTGGAAACATGCGTCGAGATTATTTATCAAAGGCTCGCTGGTAGGAGGTCATGGGACAGACCCAGGTACCGTGGGTTGCCTGACTGACACATGCCTATTCAGCCAATTCAGTATTTGGCTGCTACACATTTCCACTTGATAAGCAACTTCGTTGAGTTAATATTTGTGGAAAGGTCGCATCTAAACAAGGAACACAGTTCAGTGAGCCTTTCCTGTTAAAAAAACTGTTTATAGCTTACTCTGGTTCTTTTGGTAAAGTTACGTAGAAAGAAATTAAATTATAATAGAATACGACGTTTCGATTGCAACACAAGCAACCATCATCAAGTACAAATGAATGAGAAAACAAACATAGTTTCACACTTAACTTCTAATTTAGAAATCTTTGGAAGAACGTAATCAACCAGGCTATGCATTAACTGTGTGCTAATTGACTACACTTCCTAATTTTACTAAATTTGCTTTCTACCGTGCTTGTTTCTAAGTCCATTCTCTCCTCCAGCCGCTATGAGCAGTAATTCCACACAACTCCCCCTCTGCCCCGCCCCCTCTCTCTCTATTTAAGGCCTCGACACAGAGACGTTGTCTTTCTGTGCACCTATGTGTGCGTCTCTCTCTGTTTGTCTCTGTGTGAGTCTCTCTCTGCTTGTGTGTCTGTCTATGTGTCTCCGTGTCTATGTTTTGTCTCTCTCTCAAATTTAGCAATCTTTGGAAGAACGTAATCGACCAGGTGGGGTGTTGACTGTTGTGTTGGCCGACTCTCTGTGTTGTATTGCATTATATTTCTAAGTTTACTCGGCTTGTTTTCTCATTCATTTGTACCTGATGATGGTTGTTTGTGTTGCAATCGAAACGTCGCATTCTATTATTATTTAATTTCTTTCTACGTGACTTTACCAAAAGAACCAAAGAGTAATTCCTGCAGTCACGAAAGCATCGAATCTAGTTAGTTTATAGCTTAGTTTTTAGTGTATTGGGAAAACTTGGCAACTTGGCAACTCACGGGCAAACAAGTGGAATAAAAACAATTCGCCCCCCTTCATATCCATCCCTCGATGTATTTTTCCATGAAAAGGACTCATCAGCCACGAGTCCTTCTGGGCACGCCACAACTTCAGCGGCAATGACTCAGCGAAGGCAAACTGGGGAGCAGTGTCAACAGTCAGCAGTCTCGCGGACAGCGAGGCGCGGATGAGACCAACGTCGAGACCGATGACGCGGGAGGGAGTAGGAGGGGCGACAGATGCGGTGGTGGAGCAAGGGGGAACGGGCGGGGATGGGACGGGAGGGTGATGGGGCGGTAGAGGGGGGGGGATGGGTTTGTTTGCGAGGGGTCACGTCGGGACGCCCGGGAGACTCTCTTCCTTGCTCGGTGCCGTCTAAAGTTCCCCGCGTCTCTCCACGTCTCTCTACGCTACTCCACGTCTATCTGCGCCACTCGCGACTCCGTCACCTCGTCGGTATTGCACGCGTCGTGTTTCGCTGCTGGCGCACGGATGTACAAAGTGCCGTTCCCTCTCCTCCTTCACACCCCGGCGCCGCCCGGGCTGACTGTCATCACCCTCTTCCTGCTGTCTTCTTCCCCCTTGATGAATCCCGCTCGCAGTCCTCAATATCCCCCCACTGCCCCCTCCCCCCATCACCACGTCCAGTGTGCACGCAGTATATGCGCGCATACTCATTCCGGGTGAGCGTGTGTGTTTCTGTGTATGCGTGTGTGCACATGTGTGGGCGGCGGTGGTGTAGCGGTCAGCGCTTTGCTGCGCTATGAACCCAGAAACCCAAGTTTGATTCCCGCTCACGGCCAACACCGGTGACAATTATCCGAATCGGTTCCGGGCCTCCGTTAGGTCGACTAAGCCTCAAATGTGTACTTTGTGCGGTGTGTAAACATCGCCACCGGGGAGACAAAAGCGGTCGGGCGTGGTGTTGGCAACCCACCCCCTTGTGTGCCGTGCCAGCCTTCATAGGTTGTACTCGCTAACAGCACTTGCCCCAACAGTCTGAGCAGTCTGCTCGTTAAGGGCTACACGGAGGGGGAGGGGGGCCTTTGTATTTTTGGTTCGCAATACGTCGAGAGAGCTTTCAGCAACTTCCAATAAACCACGCCGGTGGATGGGGGCGGGCGGCACGATTCCCACGGCCGCCATGGCGATCACAGGGGGGTGAGGGAGCGGTGGGGGGTGCCTGCCGGACAGACGGACGGGGCCCGGGAAACCAAGCCAGGGGGTGGGGACGGCTGGGGCAGTGACAGAGGTGGCCCAGAGGTGGCACTTTTGCCGCTCGTCACAGAGGTTCGCGGTTCGAATTCCGGCAGGCCGTCCTGCGTTAATACTGCGGTGTGTGTAGCTAGTATGTAGAACTTCTTTTGCACCATACATAGCCAACCACATTAATCGGAGGTGCGTATTGGTGGTGCATGCGATGGTGCATATTGACCGTAAAATACTACGACCACTACCACATCGCGCCGTCCGGCCGTCCGTTTCACTCGGAGTGGACATTAGAGATCACCTAACGTATTAAAACTAAAACTATTTTTTTATTTTACCAGGTAAGGCCCACTGGGCTATATCACTCTTTTTCAGAAGCGACCTGCCAACAAATGTCAGCTTAACGAAGTGGCTTAGCACGTGTAAATATATAACAACCAAATACTCTAAACGCATGATTCTATATGTGGAGGGGAAAAACCGGATGACTTGGAGAAAAATCCACGTGACCACAGGGAGAGATAACGTGCAAACTCCAAAAATACAGAACCCATGAACCTCCTGCATACGAGGCGATGTAGTTAACATATCGCCAATACAAGGAGAGTGTAGAGGGGTGGGGGTCACTACAGGAGAGTGTGTAGAGGGGTGGGGGTCACTACAGGAGTGAGTGTAGAGGGGTGGGGGTCACTACAGGACAGTGTGTAGAGGGGTGGGGGTCACTACAGGAGAGTGTGTGTAGAGGGGTGGGGGTCACTACAGGAGTGAGTGTAGAGGGGTGGGGGTCACTACAGGACAGTGTGTAGAGGGGTGGGGGTCACTACAGGAGAGTGTGTGTAGAGGGGTGGGGGTCACTACAGGACAGTGTGTAGAGGGGTGGGGGTCACTACAGGACAGTGTGTAGAGGGGTGGGGGTCACTACAGGAGTGTGTGTAGAGGGATGGGGGTCACTACAGGAATGTGTAGAGGGGTGGGGGTCACTACAGGAGTGTGTAGATGGGTGGGGGTCACTACAGGTGAGTGTGTAGAGGGGTGGGGGTCACTACAGGAGTATGTGTAGAGGGGTGGGGGTCACTACAGGAGTGTGTGTAGAGGGGTGGGGGTCACTACAGGAGTGTGTGTAGAGGGGTGGGGGTCACTACAGGAGTATGTGTAGAGGGGTGGGGGTCACTACAGGAGTCTGTAGAGGGGTGGGGGTCACTACAGGAGTGTATAGAGGGGTGGGGGTCACTACAGGAGTGTGTGTAGAGGGGTGGGGGTCACTACAGAAGTATGTGTAGAGGGGTGGGGGTCACTACAGGAGTGTGTAGAGGGGTGGGGGTCACTACAGGAGTGTGTGTAGAGAGGTGGGGGTCACTACAGGAGTGTGTAGAGGGGTGGGGGTCACTACAGGAGTGTGTAGAAGGGTGGGGGTCACTACAGGAGTGTATAGAGGGGTGGGGGTCACTACAGGAGTGTGTGTAGAGAGGTGAGGGTCACTACAGGAGTGTGTAGAGGGGTGGGGGTCACTACAGGAGTGTGTAGAGGGGTGGGGGTCACTACAGGAGTGTGTAGAGGGGTGGGGGTCACTACAGGAGTGTGTAGAAGGGTGGGGGTCACTACAGGAGTGTGTAGAGAGGTGAGGGTCACTACAGGAGTGTGTAGAAGGGTGGGGGTCACTACAGGAGTGTGTAGAGGGGTGGGGGTCACTACAGGAGTGTGTGTAGAGGGGTGGGGGTCACTACAGGAGTGTGTAGAGGGGTGGGGGTCACTACAGGAGTGTGTAGAAGGGTGGGGGTCACTACAGAAGTGTGTGTAGAGGGGTGAGGGTCACTACAGGAGTGTGTAGAGGGGTGGGGGTCACTACAGGAGTGTGTAGAAGGGTGGGGGTCACTACAGGAGTGTGTAGAAGGGTGGGGGTCACTACAGGAGTGTGTAGAGGGGTGGGGGTCACTACAGGAGTGTGTAGAAGGGTGGGGGTCACTACAGGAGTGTGTAGAAGGGTGGGGGTCACTACAGGAGTGTGTAGAAGGGTGGGGGTCACTACAGGAGTGTGTAGAAGGGTGGGGGTCACTACAGGAGTGTGTAGAAGGGTGGGGGTCACTACAGGAGTGTGTAGAGGGGTGGGGGTCACTACAGGAGTGTGTGTATAGAGGAGTGGGGGTCACTACAGGAGTGTGTGTATAGAAGGGTGGGGGTCACTACAGGAGTGTGTGTAGAGAGGAGTGGGGGGGCACTGCTTTGTAGAGGGGGGCTCACCGGAGAGTTTGAGCGTGGAGAGCGAGGGGCTGGCGGAGAGGATCACGGTCTGTGGCATGGGAGGGCTGTTTGTTACCAGACTCACGGGGCTCGTCACCTGGAGCACGCACAGACACACAACACAAACACCCCGTGTAGCCTTAACACTGTTGGGGCGAGCGCTGTTGGCGAGCAGCAGCACCTATGAAGGCCGTCACGGCACACGAGGGGGTGGGTGTGGCCAGCACGACTGGCCGCCTTCGTCTCCCCAGTGGCGATGTTTACACTCCACACCCAGGTTCTCAGAAGCCTGAGTCGACCTATGGGAGGCCCAGGACCGGGTCAAATATTCGCTGCTGTTCTTAGTCGTGAGAGGGAATCAAATTCGGGTCGCTGGGTTTGTAGTGCAGTTCGCCAACCACTGCGCCACCGATCCCCACAGACACGCACACACACATAAACACTTATATACACACACCACCTGCCATTCACCACTAAGTGGCAGTGACAACATGACAGCACGTGTGCCAGGCTAGGTGCACTTTAAGGCCACGTGAAGTGTCGAAAGCCTGCTGACAGGAGCTCACGGGACAGACCCAGGTGCCATACCCATGGCTGAGATGACTGGCAGATGCACCACCTGTGCCCCCTACTGTGCCAACTTGCTGTGTTTTAGCCACGCAGCACTCCGCTCATTTTTGTTAGTCACTCCTCTGCCCTCCGCTGTTGCTGGAGAGCGACTGCTGCCAACTGCCCAGTAGCATCCATCACGAGCCTCTCCATAGAGGCTAATCTTGACACCGCTGGTACTGGCCATTGGCAAGTCTACATCCACCTGGACCGCATCAGCCCATCTCTTCTCTAGCCCATGCCGCACTTCTTTAGCCCCCTCATATACACACACCCACACATGCAGACACTTATACAGATGCGCAAAGCTCCCTCGTATAGCCTTAACAGACTGTTGGGGCAAGTGCTGTTAGCAAGTAGCACCTGTGAAGGCCGGTACGGCACACGAGGGGGTGGGTAGCTAACACCACACCCGGCCGCCTTTGTCTCCCCAGTGGTGATGTTTACACAATGCACCATGTACTCATTTGAGGCTGAGTCGACCGAGGGGAGGCCCACGACCGGTTCAGATAATCGTTACCAGTGTTGGCCGTCAGTGGGAACCAAACTCGGGTCGCCGGGTTCCTAAAGGCAGCGGGCTGACCGTTGCACTACTGCTCCCAATACAGACATACAACAACCGCCATTCGCCACTAAGTAGCGGTGATGTCACCACCACGCTTGTGCCAGGCTATGTGCACGTTGAGGCCAAGTGAAGTGTCGAACGCCCGCTGGCAGGAGGTCACGGGGCAGACCCAGGTGCCACGAGCCGACTGAGATGACTGGCTGATGCACCACCTGTGCTCCCTACTGTGCAAACTTGCTGTGCTTTAGCCACCTGGCGCTCGGCTCATTGTTGTGAGCGTCGCTCCTCCGCCCTCGGTTGGGCGACTGCCTCCAATTGCCCAGTAGCGTACTTCACAACCCTCCTCCACAGAGGCCAATCTTGACACCGCTGGTACCAGTCATCGGCAAGTCCACTCAGCTCCACATTCTCCTGTACCACATCACTCCATCTCTTCTCTAGCCCGTGCCGCGCCCGTTTAGCCCCCTCGATCCGGCCAAACAAAAGCTGTTTAGGCATGCGGTGGCTGGGCATGCGGGCTACATGACCCAGCCAACGCAGCCTTGCCTGCCGGAGGAGCTCAACGATTGGACTTTGTCCAGATCTTTCAAGGATTTGTGAGCTCCTCACACAATCCAGCCTGGCTAAACCCAGGATGGATCGTAGGCAGGCCAGCCTCAATGTTTCTAACCAGCGAAGATGTTCCATTAGGGGGGTCCACGGGAGGGAATGACCATGGCCGAGAAGACCTGAAGCTTTGTGTGGAGCGACAGACCAGGTAGCTTCCACACAGCGTTACACAACCGATGAAAAGATAATGCCGCTCGACTGATTCGGAGTGAGACCTGGGTTGTTAAGCTGGAGCCGGTCATGAGCACACTGCCCAGGTATGGGAAACTCTCCACTCTCTCCACATCTGCCCTATCACCAATTGGGAGTTGTGGGGGTGGAGTGTATGATGGTACAAAATACCCAGGCAGGTGCTTAGTTTTGGTGGGGCTGATGGTGAGGCCCCACCTCTTAGTGGCAAGCTTCAGGTTCAGCAGCAGTGCCTCCAATTCCTTCTCTGAGTGAACAGCAATTGCCAGATCATCGGCATACATAACATGGTTGAGCAATAAGGAGCCATCCCTGGACCACACTGGGGCATCGATCAGCCTCCCATTGTATCTGTACCAGATGGAAATTCCTCCGGTACAGCTATTGAAGGCTTCACGAACTACGTGGTCGAAATAGATGTTAAATAATGTGTGAGCCAGAGGACATCCTGGTCGCACCCCAAGGTGAACAGGGAATGGCTCCGACTCCCAGCCATGTAGTTTTACCCGGGCCCGCTCACCATCATGAAGGTCCTTAATGATCGTGAGCAGAGGGACAGGGACTCCGAAAGCTCGAAGAACAGACATACGCGCACTGAGACGCATACATACAAAGACAAACAAACACACACACAGTTATGCACAGCGCACTAAACAATAATAAAAGCCGTCGTCCGCACCCCGGGGCTGTGGCTGGAGAAGGAGGACATAGAGGAGGGGTTGATTCTCTTCTCCTTCTGTCTGCGGTTGCAGAACCACACTCGCACCACCTCTTTCTCCAGGTTGAGGTGCTCGGAGATGAGGCCTATCTCGTCCGAGGTGGGCTTCGGGTTCTGAGCACACGCACGCATGAAAGCACGCACAGGTGAACACACTCAAAATGACAAGTAGCATAAACCATCATCATGCAAACTCTGGTCAACCTCGCAGCAGCGGCTTTTGGCTGGCCATCGAACAAAGACGGGCACTGTATCCGCACCCTTTAAGATGCGCTTCTGGGGCCGTCTGAAATGCTCTCTTCCTTCTAATATTAGGAAGCGACCAGAGCTATGTAAATTGAAAACTATTTCTTTAGAACTGCTTTTTGTGTGAAGTTTCTTGTCCTTCCCCTGCACCTCCCATTAGCATGGTTGGCTACGTACTGTGCAAAAGAAGCTCAACGTACAAACATACATCCCCGTATAGCCTTAACAAACGTTGATGGCAAGTGTTGTTAGTGAGCACCTATGAAGGCAAGCATGGCAGACAAGGGAGTTGGTGGCCAGCACCACGCCCAGCCACCTTTTTCTCCCGAGTGACGATGTTTATACATCGCACTAGGTTCTCATTGAAGGCTGAATCGACCTCGGCAAGGCCTGTGACCAGTTAAAATATTCACCACTGCTATTGGTCGTGAGCGGGAATCAAATTCGGGTAGCCGGGTTGGCAGCGCAGAGAGCTAACCACTACACTACCGCTCCCCACAACAAATGCAAATCACCACTAAGTGGCGGTAACGTCACCATGGTGCCTGTGCCATGCTCTGTGCACTCTGAGGCTATGCGAGGTATCGAAGGCTAGTAGCTGGCAGGAGGTCACGGGAGAGACCCAAGTGCCATGGGTTGACTGCCTGAGATGACTGGCAGATGCACGACCTGTGCTCCCCACTATGCCAACTCTGTGCGTTTGAGCCACCCGGCGCTCCGTTCGTTGTCGTGAGCGTCGCTCCTCTGCCCTCCATCATTGCTGGAGGGCGACTGCCTCCAACTGCCCAGGAGCATCCTGGGAAGTCCACTCAGCTCCACATCCACATCACACCATCTCTTCTCCAGCCCATGTGGCGCCCGTTTAACCCCCTCTATCTGGCTGAACAAAAGCTGTTTGGACATACAGTGGCTGGGTATGTGAGCTACATGACCCAGCCAATGCAGCCTCGCCCACCGGAGGAGCTCACCAATGGGACTGTATCCATATCTTTCAAGGATTTTGTGAGCTCCTCACACAATCCATCCTGGTTGAACCCAGAATGGATCGTAGGCAGGCCAGCCTAAATCTTTCTAACAGGTAAAAATGTTCTATTAGGGTGTCCACGTTTTGCACACATCGAGAAAGGAGGATATGACCGTGGCCAAGACCCGAAGCTTCATGTGGAGTGATTGACCAGGTAGCGTCCACACAGTGTTACACAGCCAATCAGAAGAAAATTCTGCTAGACTGATTCGGAATGAGACCTCTGTTGTGAAATCGAAACTGGTCAGAATCACACTGCTCAGGTGAACACAACGACAAACATCCCACGTATAGCCTTAATAAACTGTTGGGGCAGGTGCTTTTAGCGAACACCTACGAAGGTCGGCATGGCACACGAGCGGGTGGGTGGTCAACACCACACCCGGCCGCCTTTGTCTCCCCAGTGACGATGTTTAAACACCACACCAGATACTCATTTGAGGCTGAGTCGACCTTGGGGAGCACCAGGACCGGTTCAAACAATCGCCACTGGTGTTGGCCGTGAGCAGGATTCGAACTCGGGTCGCCGAGTTTGAAGCGCAGTGCGCTAACCACTGCACTACAGCTCCCCATAGGTGAACATACACACATACGTACAAGCGCGTACACAAGCGCGTACACAAGCGCGTACACAAGCGCGTACACAAGCGCGTACACAAGCGCGTACACAAGCGCACCTCGAGGAAGCTCTTCTCCAGCGCCCCGCGGATGTTGTTCTCGATGCTCGTTCTCTTCTTGCGGCGGCGTCCCCCAGCCCCCCCTCCCTGGCCCCCATCGTAGCCCCCCGAGGGACTCGACACGGCGGGGTCGCACGACATGTTCTCTGCCCACACACACGTCACACACGCACACACCATCACACATACAAGTTACAAACACGTCACACCCACACACACGACACACCATTACACACTTCACGCACATACATGTTACAAACATACGTCACACCCACACACATCACAGACACACGTCACACACACACGACACATACACGTCACACATAAACATACATGACACACGTAGACACGTCACAAGTGGCGGTGACGTCACCACGACGCTTGTGCCAGGCTATGTGCAGGAGGTCACGGGGTAGACCCAGGTGCCAAGGGTCGACTGACTGAGATGACTGAGATGACTGGCTGATACACCACCTGTGACCCCTACTGTGCCAACCTGCTGTGCTTTAGCCACTCGGCGCTCCGCTCGTTGTTGTGAGCGTCACTCCTCCACCCTCCGTTGTTGTTGGAGGGCGACTGCCTCAAACTGCCCAGCAGTGTCCTTCACGAGCCTCCTCCACAGAGGCCGATCTTGACACTGCTGGTACCAGTCATCGGCAAGTCCACTCAGCTCCACATCCTCCTGTACCACGTCACTCCATCTCTTTTCTAGCCCTGCCGCGCCCATTTAGCCACCTCTATCCGGACGAACAAAAGCTGTTTAGGCATGCGGTGACTGGGCATGCGGGCTACATGACCCAGCCAACGCAGCCTTGCCTGCCGGAGGAGCTCACCGATGGGACTTTGCACACAATCCCGCCTGGTTAAACCCAGGATGGATCGTAGGCAGGCCAGCCTCCCTCAGCATTTCGCTTGGGAGATCATCTCTGTCCGGTGCCTTTCATGGTCTCAGACTCCGGATCACCTTTAGTACTTCCTCAACAGAAGGCACCTCAGCCAGCCACTCACAGGGGGTGACTTCTTCAAATATTTGAGGCACCGCAGCCTCAGCAGGGTCATCCCCACTTTGTCCCACGATGTTTTCCATGTCGAGGGATTTCCCCTCCCCCAGGACTTCACAGAAATGCTCAGCAAATCTGCAAACCTGTTCCTGGGGGTTGAAGATTGGATCACCGTTTTTCCCCTAATGATGGTAAGAGGTGTGGCCCTGCAGGTTACTTTTTTATGGAATTAAATAGGGATTTGTGATCGCGGGCCATTGAGGCAGACTCCATCTCCTCAGCAACACAAGACCACCATCCATCCTTGCAGTGCCTCACGGCTCTCCGAACCTCCGAGCGAAGGCTGCGGCAAGCCTCCTCATTCTCTGACGTGGGATGCTGTAGACGATTAGAGTGGGCCTGTCGCTTTTTCTCAACCATCCTGAACACCTCCTCTGTCAGCCAGGGTCTCTGGGGAGGTCTGGACCGGGTACCCAAAGCAGCCATTGCAGCTGCATGAGTCACAGTCCTAAACCTCGCCCATTTACCCTTGACATCAGGAGTGGGGGATGATGCCAACCCCAGCCGCAAGCGATGATGAAATTCTCGCTTGCAACTTTCATCAGCTAGCTGAAACCAGGCCACCTTAGGCTGGAATGGGGTCCTGTGTGTACACCCACCACCGGAGTGGAAGAATGGCAGGCGCATCTTACAGATGATAAGTCGATGGTCAGAGGGCAGATGAGCTCCACGGTAGGTCCTGGTGTCAAGGACATGGGCTCGCATCCTCTGTTCCGTCACTATGTAGTCCAGCAGATGTTCTTGCTTGGACCCGGCATGCATCCATGATGTTGTGTGGATGCGCCGATGCCGGAACAGAGTGTTGGTAATTCAAGCACATGGGCTGCACAAAAATCTAGCAGCCTCCTACCGTTGTTATTGAGCTGATCTGGCCCATGCCTTCCAATCACTCCAGACCAGGTGCCAGAATCGTGACCAACTCGGGCATTGATGACTCTATCCCGAGGGGCCACTTTAGCCAGCACCTGTGACAGGTCATAGAAGGCATCCGACTCATCGGCCTTGCCTGCATCTCTCCACAGATGTTCGTCTTCGGTGGGGGCATAAGTAACCACGACCACCACTCCTCGCCACACACACAAACACCACACACGCACGCACCCTCACCTGCATCATTGAGCCACTTCTCGAGCAGTGGCTTAAGCTTGCACATGTTCTTGAAGCTCAGGTTGAGGGCCTCGAAGCGAGAGATGGTCGTCTGGCTGAAGTCGTTGCCATAGAACTTGCCCATCGCCATGCCCACGTCACCCTGCGCGGGCAGCACAACATGCCCAGTGGTCAGTACACTCTCTACACCCGCACTGCACGTGCCCACATGTTCCATGCCCCCGTGTCCCCATGTCCCATGTCCCCGTTTCTCCGTGTCCCCGTGTCTCTGTGTCCCCATGCCATCGTGTCCCCGTATCCCCATATCCCAGTGTCCTCATATTCCGTGCCGCCTTGTCCCGGTGTACCTGTGTGAAGCCCAGCTTTATGCGGCGCTGCTTGAACATTTTGGCAAACTGCTCTAGCTCCTCCAGGTCGCTGGGCTCCTCCATCGGCACCGAGCCACCCCCCTCCGCCCCGCTCCGCTTGGGGGGCCCCCCGCCGGCCTGGTGTGCAGGGGGCCCGTGGTGCGGGGGAACGCGAACCGCCCCAAGGGCCCCCCGGCCCCCCACGCCCTGGACGGACGATCCCTGCGGGAGACGCGGGGATGCAGGGAGACGCAGGGAGACGCAGGGAGACGCAGGGAGACACAGGGAGACACAGGGAGACACAGGGAGACACAAGGAGACACGGGGAGACGCAGGGAGACACAAGGAGACATGGTCAACAGAGGCACGGAGACCTCGACGGTCTACAATTCGGGTGGCAGGGTGGGAGGGTGGCAGCGGTGGCGCTGCGCTGGTGATGCTTGTGCCTCCTCACATTCAGACGGGGCCTGGATTCGATTCCTGACTCGGGCGCATTTCTGCGTGGAGTTCTCCCCTTGTTCTGCAGAGTGTGAGTGAGTGTGTGGAGTTTGTACGTTCTCCCCATGCTTTGCATGCGTTTCCTCCGGGCTTCTAGCGTTTTCCTCTCATTGTCAAAACAAACCACACGCGCACAGTGTAACTGGTATTGGCCAAAACATCCCTATGCTGAAACACGACCTACAAGACCACTCAACGTGGGATCACACGCGACAGCTGCAGCAGCAGCATCAGTGACATTGTCCCCTTCTCCTACCTGCCCAAAACTTGGCAGGACACCTGAAAAGAAAGTCTTGAGACTTGGCGAGTCTTCGTGCTCAACTAAAATAGGAACAAGCCGTGTCTCCGTTCTCATCTCATTCTACTCACCCTTCACTGCTCCCCTTTTGTTCTAGCAAAGCCAACGTCTTCTGCCAAATGTCCCCAAGTCGGCCTCCACGGGAGGTCTGCTTTCTCTTCGGGGGGGGGGGGTGGGTTAGTGGGGTGGCGGCGCGGCGGCCCGGCGGTTAAAGCCGTGTCCCCGCTCAGTGCAGAGGCTCAAGGTTTGAAACCCGGCAGGTTGCCCCTTCCCCCCAGTTAATAACCATGATTACCGTGCGTCAACCGTGAACAACTACTGCGACCGCCGCCACGCGCTGTCCCCCATCGCTCACGGCGCACTTGAAGAGTTCACGGTGACATCGTTTGAAAACGGGGACAATGCGCCGGCGTCACGAATATTTTTTTGTGCAAATTCGAAATATTATTTGCAGATTATTCAATTGGGATAATGCTCACAACAACAGCAGCGACATTGCCCCCCCCCCACCCCTCCTTATGCGAAACGGCCAGAGTTCACCTGCAAAAACAGTGGCACCTTCCCCTCCTGGCGGTCATCACCGTGGACGCCAGTCCCATGGTCAAGTGAAGGGCTCCACGGTGGCTAGGAGATGTTAACTACCTCACTCAGTACACAGGAGATTGTGGGATTGATCCTGACCCTGATGCCTCCTGTATATATGGGAATTTACGTGTCCCTCTTGAACCGTGGTCATGTGGATTCTTCTCCAGTTCCTCCAGTTTTCCCCTCCATATTTAGAATAAACATGCGCTTTGAGTATTTGGCTGCTTTAAATTTCCACGTGATGATAAGCCACTTCGTTGAGCTATCATTGGTGGCCAGGTCGCTTCTAAAAAAGAGCTGAACATCTCAATGGGCCTTACCTGCTAAAATAAAGTTTCGTTTTTGTGCGTGTGGGGAGTGGTGCAGCAGTTAGCGTGCGGCTCTACAAACCCGGCGACTCGAGTTCGATTCCCGCTCACAGAAAACACCAGTGACAATTATCTGAAACAGCTCTGTACGTAGGTACGTATGTTGAACTTCTTTCGCAACAAATGTAGCCAACCGTGCTAATCGGAGGTGATCCTGGGCCTTCCCAAGGTCGACTCAGCCTCAAATGAGTGTGTGCTATGATGTGTAAACATCGACATGAGGGAGACAAAGGTGGCCATGCGTGGTGCTGGCCACCCACCCCCTCGTGTGCCGTGCCGGCCTTCATAGCTGCTCACTAACAACACTTGCCCCAAAAGTCTGTTAAGGCTATATGGGAGGATCTATGCCTTTGCTGCACTTTCCCACAAATTAAACGGAAGTTTCCTGTAAATTGCTGAGTGCGTGGAAGCTTCTTTTGCTGCCGCCGCTGCTAAAAATGCACTCGGCTGGCCAGAAAACAGAAGTGACATTTTAATAGGGCCTTGTTAGGGTCTGCGGAAAGCTGCCCAAGCCACTCCAACACGTAAGCCTCGTAGAAAGTGTCATGTCCATCAACGGCAGAGACATCCCTCGTCAGGCAGTTGTTGCCGTGGCGCCCGTGTTCACTCAGGGAAGCCTTGCAAAGTCTCAAGACTCCTTTTTCAGGAGGGTTCTGCCAAGTGTTTCGCAGTCTGGGGGGGGGGGGCGGAGATGTTGTCGCTGCTGTTGCTGCTGCTGTTGCTGCTGCTGCTGTTGCTGCTGCTGTGTGTGATCCCACATTGAGATATTTGCAGGTGATTTTTCAGCATTGGAGAAGTTTGTTTGGCCAATAGCAGTTCCACTGCATGTTTAGCTTAAGGGGGAGCAATTGTGTAGCGGTAAGCGTGCTTCGCTACGGAGCCGGCCACCCCAGTTTAAATCCCGCTCACGGCCAACACCGGTGACAATTACTCTATGTAGCACAATTTTTGTTTCTGGGTAGTAAGTGTTATTTCGTAATTGCGTATGCCTCAAAAGTACAGAAAATGGCTATTATTCCCCACAAACTTTGCTTTTGTGACCAGGTCAGTGACATTTTGAAATTTACCTATTTTCAATGAGAAATGGGTGAATTTGTGTCGTTTCGTTCACATAAAGTCAGAAAAAAACAACATACGAATCAAAGTTAAAATGTATTTACACTAAAGTAATACAAAAATTACTGCAAAAGATTAAGAAGTGAGTAGTTTTTCGAGATTTACGATTATACTGTAAATCACTTTCACGAATCAGCCCCCAAATGTAGTCTCCCATCATGTTATACTGTCCTTGGTAGCGGCGTTCAAAGTCCAGTATATCCTGGTAGAAGCGCTCGCCTTGCTCCTCCAAGTATGCTCCCATGTTCTCCTTGAATTTATCAAAATGAGCATCAAGGATATGGACTTTGAGGGACATCCTACAGCCCATTGTGCCGTAGTTCTTCACCAGTCTCAACCAGCTCCACATAGTTTTCGACCTTGTGATTGCCCAGAAAGCCACAAACCACTGCGACAAAGCTGTTCCAAGCTGCTTTTTCCTTACTAGTGAGCTTCTTGGGGAATTCATTGCACTCCAGGATCTTCTTTATCTGTGGTCCGACGAAAACACCGGCTTTGACCTTTGCCTCAGACAGCTTAGGAAATAAGTTTTGAAGTTACTTGAAGGCTGCCGACTTCTTATCTACAGCTCTGACAAATTTTTTCATGAGGCCCAATTTGATGTGCAGTGGTGGTATCAGCACCTTCCGGGGGTCCACCAGTGGCTCCCACTTGACGTTGTTCCTCCCCACAGAGAACTCGGTCCACTGTGGTCAGTCCCGCCTATGGTATGTGCCTTGGTGTCCCTGCTGTCCCCAAGGCAAAGATAGCAGGGAAACTTGGTAAAACCGCCTTGGAGACCCATCAGGAATGCCACCATTTTGAAGTCTCCGATGACCTCCCACCCGTACTCATTATACTTCAAGGCATCCAGCAAGGTCTTGATGCTGTTGTAATCCTCTTTGAGGTGCACCGAGTGAGCCAGGGGAAGAGACGGGTACTTGTTACAATTATGGAGCAGCACGGCTCTGAGGCTCCTGGATGAGCTGTTAATGAAGAGGCGCCACTCATTCTGGTTACAGGCGATTCCCATTGCCTCGAACAGACTGGTCACATTGTGGCAGAAACAGAGCCCATCTTGACGGGTGAAGCTGAAAAAAGGTTGGTGACGCTTCCTCTGATCTGCGACTTTCATCCAACAAGTTCCACTGCTTGAGCATAGACGTCAAAAGATCGGCATTGGACTTGGTGAGACCAAGATCTCTAGTCAAGTCGTTGAGGTCTTTTTGGTTGGGGTAGTATGGGTTTCTCTCCTCTGAAATTGTCATCTGGATCTACGTCTTCCTCGCTCTCTGACGTGCTGCTCTCTTCTAAAGACGGCTGCTCTCTCTCCGGATGAGTGGGTACGGGGAGCTCATGGCAGTGTGGTACCGGGGCGATGGATGAAGGAAGGTCCGGATACGTGATAGCAGGTGCATTCCTGCCAGTCCGACGTTTGGAAGGGTCCAGCATGCAGAAGTAGCAGTTGCTTGAGTGTTCAGTGGGTTCCCGCCAAATTCTTGGAATAGTGAATTTCATGGCTCTCTTTTCCCCTCTGTACCATCCTACAAAAATAAATGTATTTCACCCATGACCAATGTGTAAGGGATTCTCTCAACATTTTTTTATATGATATATTTTTTCAATAACATAAAAAATAGTAAAATATTTAACAAATTTTATAACATAAAATTCCGAGCAAAAACTGTACATCTTATCTTCCAGAGTTTTTCTGCATTGCTCGCAGGTGAAATGAGGTGTCCAGGGTTTGTTTTGATCCCTGACAGGCATGCTGAAATATGCCTTGTAGGCCTCACACATCTTAGCAGATGCTTCCACAGAGTACTTTTTCGCTCTTGTCTTGATAAATTGGCCACAGACATAGCAAAATGCATCTGCCGGATGCTTGCAGCCTCTTGATGCCATCTCAGAAAAATGCAGATATGTATCCACTTCGGCAGCTGGAACTAAATTGAATTGGTGGGCTTCAGGCCCCTGTATTTATACTACTCTTTATATTACTGGAAAGTTCTAGAATGTTCTAGAAGTTACTCCAAGTTTACTCAGCACTGTCCTGGTCACAAAAGTAAAGTTTGTGGGAAATAATAGCCATTTTCTGTACTTTTGAGGCATAAGAAATTAGGAAATAACACTTACTACCCAGGAACATCTGAACCAGTCCTGAGCCTCCCCGAGGTCGACCCAGTCTCAAATGAGTACCTGGTGCAGTTTTCTAAAAACATTGCCACTGCAGAAACAAAGGGCATGGTGGTGTTGGCCACCCACCCCTTCGTGAGCCGTGCGAGTCTTCATCGGTGATACCCATGAACAGCACTTGCCCCAACGGTCTTAGCTATGGGAGAAAATCAGAGAACCCCCAGGAAACCCACGGGCAACGGGGCGAGAACGTACAAACTCCACATAGAAAAGTGCCCGGGATAGGAATCGAACCCATGTCCCTTCCCGCCATGAGGAGGCGCAAGCATGCCCCCTGCTGCACCGCCACTGCCGCCCTGCCCGCACCGCGTACCGTACCGTACCGCCACCCCTCGAATAAAATCCAAACGACGCTCTATCTTGCTCAAGACACCAGCACGCCTTGGCATGGAACGATCCCCGGCCAGGAGCCTTGGGACGCGCAGCGCAACTCGTCATGGGAAGGGCGTCACAGCCGGTGGGGCGAGCGGACCCACGGGTGACCCCGGTGAGTGAACCGACAGGCGACACAGGCGAGCGAGCCGACGGGCGATTGACTCCCTGGACCCTGTTGACAACATGCTGCTCCAGCATGTTCATCGCACTGATGAATACTCCAAATACTCGAGTGACACCTGCACCCAGCCTGTGGCCCGCGAAGCTCGACTCGGCTCGTCGCCTCTGCTCCGGGGGGGTCAGGGAGCACGGATGCCACCGTATGCCAACGAGTACATTCAGACCCGCTGCCATGGGAATGTGGAATTGCAACACCCGGATGCACAGAGGCAGACCCGCACATGAAGAAGGCTGCAGGAGACACATTGAGCTAACGGTGATCGTGGTGATAACGATGATAATCATAATTATGATGACAATGATATTGATAATGGCGATTACCATGATAGTGATGACGATATTGATTATGACGATGATGGTAACGATGACAAGAATGACAATGATGACAAGAATGACAATGATGACAAGAATGACAATGATGACGGTTGCAATGATAGCGATGTTACGATGATGACAGCGACGATGATGATGGCGACGATGATGATGACAGTGATGATGATGATTACTAAGACGACGATGAAAATGATGATAAAGATTATGACAACGATGATTACAATTCATAATGATGACAATTATATCAATAATGATGGTGATGATGATGACGACGATGACAATGACGTCGATTATGACGGTGATGATAACAATGAAGCTGATGAGAATGCTGATGACTATGATGATGAAAACAACTATTTTGATAATGCTGATAACGATGATGATAACGACAACGATGATGGCGATAATGCAGAAGGAACTCACTGCAGCCCGTGGCACGACGGGGAGGCCCCACGTTTCCAAGCAGTGAATCGCGCGTGCGACATGGGCCATCGCGGCAGCGCTGCCACGCGTTCGCGTGTGTGAACGCACGAGCGTGTTCACGAGCGTGTGTGCGTGGCTGCGTGCGTAGACGAGCGTGTGTGCGTGGCTGCGTGCGTACACGAGCGTGTGTGCGTGGCTGCGTGTGTACACGAGTGTGTGTGCGTGGCTGCGTGTGTACACGAGTGTGTGTGCATGGCTGCGTGTGTACACGAGCGTGTGTGCGTGGCTGCGTGTGTACACGAGCGTATGGGCGTGACTGCGTGTGTACACGAGTGTGTGTGTGTGTGCGTGCGGGCGTGACTGCGTGTGTCACCGCCCGTCACTTCCCCAATGTGAGGACCCCGCTCGCCCACTCCTGCCATCTGCCCGGGTGGTGGAGTCACAGTCCACACAGTGACAAAAATCCCCACTACAGTCTACACAAGCTGCTGGGGCAAGTGCTGTTAGCGAGCACCTATTAAGGCCGGTACGACGCGTGAGGAGGTGAATGGCTAGCTCCACGCTGGACCACTTTTGTCTCATCAGTGTTGATGTTTACACACCATTGCAGGTATCTAAACTAAACAATTTTTTATTTTACCAAGTAAGGCCCACTGAGCTATATAGCTATTTTTCAGAAGTGACCTGGCCACAAATGATAGCTTAATGGAGAAGCTTATACTTTGACTTAAAGCGCGCGTGAGGAGGAAGGAGCCATCTGAAGATCCAAACAAAACCATCACCTTACCTTACATAGCAGGGATACCCAAAAAGATTTCCAAAATCTTGAACAAACACAAGATCCAGGTCCGATTTAACACAGTGCATAAAGTTTGTGACCTGATCCCATCTGTGAAGGACAAGATTCCTGGCATGCAATATCCTGGCGTCTACAAATTAAGCTGTATCTGTGGCAGCAGTTACATTGGGGAAACTAAGAGATAAGTCTCGAACCATGTTCGTGAACATAAGGCAGATCTAAAACACAGCAGGACCAATACTTCTGCCATGGCTGATCAGTATCTTAATGCGGCTGGCTCACATGAAATTGATTTCTCGAAGACGATGGTACTTTCAACTGGCTATCAACAAAGATTCGTTCACGAAGCCATCCATGTATACAGACACAGGCACAATTTCAACCGAGCAATCATTGGAAAGATGTCATCAACCACTTTGGGTCATGACTTGATTTGTGTTTTCTTGTCAATCTCCACCGTCAGCAGTGTGGGTGTGTGGAGCGAGGTGCAATGCTTTGATTGGTGCAAATAGAAGTTCAACATACATACATATCACCTGCCACTATCCGTTGACGTGCTGCCATCAGAGAGCCTTCCACACGTTACGTGACAGCCTGAAAGTGCATCTAGTTTGGCACAAATGCCGTCGTTACGTCACCACCACTTCGTCGTGTTGTTGTGTGTGCGTGAATGAGCGTCACTGTATTCTGGTGCCACACACACGTGTATGTACGAACATGCGTGTGCGTGCGTACCTGTGTGAGCGTGATGGTGCCCTGAGGTTGCATGTTGTTGGTTTGAGATTGTTGAGGTAGATGAAGACTTTGAATCTGTTGGAGTCCTGCCCATGCACACAGAGACAAAGATCACATGTATAGCTTTACCATACTGGTGGGGCAAGTGTTGATAGCGAGCACTCGATTAAGGCCAACACAGCACACGAGGGGGTGGGTGGCCAGCACCACGCCCAGCCGCCTTTGTCTCCCCAGTGCTGATGTTTTACAGAAAAAGCTCAGCTATCCGGCACCTTACCATCCGGAATGCCCTATTAACCGGCATCTGTCATAGACGGCAATACCAATCTTCCTTCACGTATGCGGAAAAGTTCCAAAAGTCATCCGGCATCTTGCTGTGCGCTTCTCGTAGATCCGTTGTTGTTTACGGCAACTTCAGGACGCTGCCGAGTGTTGGCGCTAGCGGCAGTCTGCACATGGAGCACCACTGTGTACTGTACTGCACTACCGTACACTGTACTCGAAATGGTAAATCCTAAAGTATAACTCTCAGATAACCGGCATATTTGTTTAACCGGCACCCTCCATTCCCCAAGGATGCCGGCTCAGAGCTTGTGCTGTATGTACACCGCTCAAGGGTACTCATTTAAGGTTAAATCGACCTAGGGAAGGCCCAAGAACGGTTCAGGTGAAGGCTGCCACTGTTATTGGCCACGAGCAGGAATTTTACTTGGGTCCCTGGGGTGGAAGGGCAGGGCGCTACGCCCTGGGGAGGTCGCACAAGAAACGCACACACTAACAACACGCACAAACACACACAGACGTATACATGCAGTAAAACAAGCCCAGACACACCAGTCACTGAGTCTGTGTGAGTGTTGTGGTGTTGTGTGCATGTGAGAGTGTGTATGCAGGTGTGTTGTGTGTGTGGTGTGTGTGGGAGCGTGTATGCAGGTGTATGCAGGTGTGTTGTGTGCGTGTGTGTATGTGCGTGTGTGTATGCGTGTGTGTATATGTGTGTGTATGCGTGTGTGTATGTGCGTGTATGCGTGTGTGTATGTGCGTGTGTGTATATGTGTGTGTGTATGCGATACCCTGTTGCTGTGACTGGGACAGCAGCAGACCAGTGGGCAGCGCTGAGCCCGGTTGCACCAGCACAAACTGCTGCAGGCCCAGGCTCTGGGGTTGTAGCTGCTGCAAGTCCTACACTCGCACACAAAAACACACGGCGTACGCAGCCGATGAGAAGATAATGCTGCTCGACTGATTCGAAGTGAGACCTCTGCTGTCAAACCAGAACTGGTCAGAATCACACTGCTTAGGTGAACACAAAGACAAACATCCCCCGTATAGACTGTTGGGGCAAGTGCTGTTAGCGAGCACCTATGAAGGCCGGCACGGCACACGAGGGGGTGGGTGGCCAGCACCACGCCCGGCCGCCTTTGTCTCCCCAATGCTAATGTTAGATACCGCACCAGATACTCATTTAAGTCTGAGTTAATTTAAAAACAAACTAAACTACTTATATTTTACCAGGTAAGGCCCAATGAGCTATTTAGCTCTTTTTCAGAAGCAACCTGGCCACAAATGATAGCTCAACGAAGTGGGTTCTCATGTGGAAATATATAGCAGTCAAACTCTGAACGCACGTTTATTCTAAATGTGGAGCGAAAAAGCCTAGGAGAGGCCCAGGACTGGTTCCGATATCCTTCACTGCTGTGGGCTGTGAGCGGGAATCGAACTCGGGTATCCAGGTTTGTAACGCAGTGCAGCGCTAACAATTGTGCCACTGCTCCCCCAGCGCAACACCACACACTAGGCCATGAGCCTGGGGCCCGAACAGAGACAATCCTTGTATAGTCCGGCGGGCGGCAACTGTAACTAGAGAAACTAAAACATCCACACACACATTACCTGACAAGCACTCAATTGATATTATTACGCAGCTACTGCTGTGTGATAGATCTCAATTGCCCTTCCCCCCCTCACCTCCAATTAGCACAGTTGGCTACGTATGGTATGAAAGAAGTTCAACATACGTGCGTACAACATCGCCCCCTCCTGCCAAAATTTGGCAGGACCCTCCCTGAAAAAGAGCCTTGAGACTCGGTGCGGCTTTCTTGGGATAAATAAGCAGAATACAACTAACAACATAATTTGGAAGTGGTGTGCATGAGCACAAATAACAACGACAACCGGACACTTTCGTTAATACTGACACCGCGCTTGTGCGAGTGTCACCGTAAAAATTAAAAGCACATTTCGCGAAATGTCCCTTGTTCTCAGCACATTATATATTGGGCCACGATCCAGAGGTCAATTCCAGGACAAGCATTGCTGGAAAAGCATGACTAGAAATCAATGCCACAGCATTTACAATTGAAAAATCTCACCGACCCCCTCGCAAACACCGACCCCCCATCCCCACCCTGCCCCCTCCAAAAATCGGAACAATTCTGATTCAAGCCGCCCCATAGTTGGCAACTGGGACAGCAACTTCCAATCAGATTGGAGATGGAGGTCACCTGACCGACTGCCTGACGTTGCGCTTTCTAGCACATGGGGAAAAATGGCACCTTCCAAATCCAGCGCAAGTGGGACCTGGACGGATGGGACAGAAAATCTTCAAACTGACTTCTCCTTTGTAAAAAAAAAATTAATTGCAATAAGAGAATGACTTGCTAATTGTGTAAATGAATGCCTGTCACCTAAATAGTGACTCATACTAGGCCTGCCACATCCATAATCAACTAGGCCTGCTCTATCCCTAATCAACTAGTGACTAGGCTTACCGCATCCCTCATCAACTAGTGACTAGCACTAGGCATGTCCCATCCCTCATCAACTAGTGACTAGCACTAGGCATGTCCCATCCCTCATCAACTAGTGACTAGCACTAGGCATGTCCCATCCCTCATCAACTAGTGACTAGCACTAGGCATGTCCCATCCCCCATCAACTAGTGACTAGCACTAGGCATGTCCCATCCCTCATCAACTAGTGACTAGCACTAGGCCTGTCCCATCCCCCATCAACTAGTGACTAGCACTAGGCCTGTCCCATCCCTCATCAACTAGTGACAAGCACTAGGCCTGTCCCATCCCTCATCAACTAGTGACTAGCACTAGGCCTGCCCCATCCCTCGTCAACTAGTGACTAGCACTAGGCCTGCCCCATCCCTCATCAACTAGTGACTAGCACTAGGCCTGCCTCATCCCTAGTCAACTAGTGACTAGCACTAGGCCTGCCTCATCCCTAGTCAACTAGTGACTAGCACTAGGCCTGTCCCATCCCTCATCAACTAGTGACGAGCACTAGGCCTGTCCCATCCCTCATCAACTAGTGACGAGCACTAGGCCTGTCCCATCCCTCATCAACTAGTGACTAGCACTAGGCCTGTCCCATCCCTCATCAACTAGTGACGAGCACTAGGCCTGTCCCATCCCTCATCAACTAGTGACGAGCACTAGGCCTGTCCCATCCCTCATCAACTAGTGACTAGCACTAGGCCTGTCCCATCCCTCTCAACTAGTGACTAGCACTAGGCCTGTCCCATCCCTCATCAACTAGTGACTAGCACTAGGCCTGTCCCATCCCTCATCAACTAGTGACTAGCACTAGGCCTGTCCCATCCCCCATCAACTAGTGACTAGCACTAGGCATGTCCCATCCCTCATCAACTAGTGACTAGCACTAGGCCTGTCCCATCCCTAATCAACTAGTGACTAGCACTAGGCATGTCCCATCCCTCATCAACTAGTGACTAGCACTAGGCCTGTCCCATCCCTCATCAACTAGTGACTAGCACTAGGCCTGTCCCATCCCTAGTCAACTAGTGACTAGCACTAGGCCTGTCCCATCCCTCATCAACTAGTGACGAGCACTAGGCCTGTCCCATCCCTCATCAACTAGTGACTAGCACTAGGCCTGTCCCATCCCTCATCAACTAGTGACTAGCACTAGGCCTGTCCCATCCCTCATCAACTAGTGACTAGCACTAGGCCTGTCCCATCCCTCATCAACTAGTGACAAGCACTAGGCCTGTCCCATCCCTAATCAACTAGTGACTAGCACTAGGCCTGTCCCATCCCTCATCAACTAGTGACTAGCACTAGGCCTGTCCCATCCCTAATCAACTAGTGACTAGCACTAGGCCTGTCCCATCCCTCGTCAACTAGTGACTAGCACTAGGCCTGTCCCTAATCAACTAGTGACTAGCACTAGGCCTGCCCCATCCCTCGTCAACTAGTGACTAGCACTAGGCCTGCCCCATCCCTAATCAACTAGTGACTAGCACTAGGCCTGTCCCATCCCTCATCAACTAGTGACTAGCACTAGGCCTGCCCCTCATCAACTAGTGACTAGCACTAGGCCTGTCCCATCCCTCATCAACTAGTGACTAGCACTAGGCCTGTCCCATCCCTCATCAACTAGTGACTAGCACTAGGCCTGCCCCATCCCTCATCAACTAGTGACGAGCACTAGGCCTGTCCCTCGTCAACTAGTGACTAGCACTAGGCCTGCCCCATCCCTCGTCAACTAGTGACTAGCACTAGGCCTGCCCCATCCCTAGTCAACTAGTGACTAGCACTAGGCCTGCCCCATCCCTCGTCAACTAGTGACTAGCACTAGGCCTGCCCCATCCCTAGTCAACTAGTGACTAGCACTAGGCCTGCCCCATCCCTAGTCAACTAGTGACTAGCACTAGGCCTGCCCCATCCCTCATCAACTAGTGACTAGCACTAGGCCTGTCCCATCCCTAGTCAACTAGTGACTAGCACTAGGCCTGCCCCATCCCTCATCAACTAGTGACTAGCACTAGGCCTGCCCCATCCCTCGTCAACTAGTGACTAGCACTAGGCATGTCCCATCCCTCATCAACTAGTGACTAGCACTAGGCATGTCCCATCCCTCATCAACTAGTGACTAGCACTAGGCCTGTCCCATCCCCCATCAACTAGTGACTAGCACTAGGCATGTCCCATCCCTCATCAACTAGTGACTAGCACTAGGCCTGTCCCATCCCCCATCAACTAGTGACTAGCACTAGGCCTGTCCCATCCCTCATCAACTAGTGACAAGCACTAGGCCTGTCCCATCCCTCATCAACTAGTGACTAGCACTAGGCCTGCCCCATCCCTCGTCAACTAGTGACTAGCACTAGGCCTGCCCCATCCCTCATCAACTAGTGACTAGCACTAGGCCTGTCCCATCCCTCATCAACTAGTGACTAGCACTAGGCCTGTCGCATCCCTCATCAACTAGTGACGAGCACTAGGCCTGTCCCATCCCTCATCAACTAGTGACGAGCACTAGGCCTGTCCCATCCCTCATCAACTAGTGACTAGCACTAGGCCTGTCCCATCCCTCATCAACTAGTGACGAGCACTAGGCCTGTCCCATCCCTCATCAACTAGTGACGAGCACTAGGCCTGTCCCATCCCTCATCAACTAGTGACTAGCACTAGGCCTGTCCCATCCCTCAACTAGTGACTAGCACTAGGCCTGTCCCATCCCTCATCAACTAGTGACTAGCACTAGGCCTGTCCCATCCCTCATCAACTAGTGACTAGCACTAGGCCTGTCCCATCCCCCATCAACTAGTGACTAGCACTAGGCATGTCCCATCCCTCATCAACTAGTGACTAGCACTAGGCCTGTCCCATCCCTAATCAACTAGTGACTAGCACTAGGCATGTCCCATCCCTCATCAACTAGTGACTAGCACTAGGCCTGTCCCATCCCTCATCAACTAGTGACTAGCACTAGGCCTGTCCCATCCCTCATCAACTAGTGACTAGCACTAGGCCTGTCCCATCCCTCATCAACTAGTGACGAGCACTAGGCCTGTCCCATCCCTCATCAACTATTGACTAGCACTAGGCCTGTCCCATCCCTCATCAACTAGTGACTAGCACTAGGCCTGTCCCATCCCTCATCAACTAGTGACTAGCACTAGGCCTGTCCCATCCCTCATCAACTAGTGACAAGCACTAGGCCTGTCCCATCCCTAATCAACTAGTGACTAGCACTAGGCCTGTCCCATCCCTCATCAACTAGTGACTAGCACTAGGCCTGTCCCATCCCTAATCAACTAGTGACTAGCACTAGGCCTGTCCCATCCCTCGTCAACTAGTGACTAGCACTAGGCCTGTCCCTAATCAACTAGTGACTAGCACTAGGCCTGCCCCATCCCTCGTCAA